TTTTATTTATTACTTTATATATTATAAAATGACTAAATACATATAATATTATAAATTTTAATAAATTTAAAAAAACTAACCATTAAATAAATAAGATACAAAATTATATAAAAATTTATTTTGCAATCATTTTTATTATATAAAAGTTGAATTAAAACAATTAAATCATGAAAGGTGGAGTGTCTTATAAACTAAGAAATGTCTCTTTTACACAATGAATCAAAGCATGGTGGCGAAATGATATAAAAGGAAATGATGACAATTTACAGATATTGTCAAAATTTTCTTTTCCGTATTCTCTAACATCATAATTAGGTAAAACTTTTTCGTGCTCATAATAAAGCAAGACTAGTGATTATGAACGATCATACAAAGTTTGAAAGGGATTGGGCACATGTGATGCATTGGGCACATGTGATGCGATAGGGATTAGGGACCGAATGATAATAAAATCAATGGGGACAGAAGGTCAATATGGCAAGTTTTTACCTGTTCTTAGAGGTCTTGTAACTTCATTCTTAGGTCTTACAACTACCGGCTGATGCTATGGGAAATTGGGGACCCAACGGTAGTGAGATGAATGACATATGTCTCTGATATAATCCATTAGTAAAAAAATAGTGAATGCAATAGGGTCTTTTACTTTTAAAGTAATTAAATTTTGAAAGTTAAACATCAATTATTTGAATAAATAAAATTTTTTAGTAATTGTAAATAAATAAAGTGAAATAACTAAGATTTTATTTAGTATAGTTTTATTTTTTATTTTTTGTATGGTTAGTAATCCCATATGTAGATTAGATTAAATTTAATAAATTTTAATTTTTATAATAAATTTTGATTTTTAAATGAGTTTTTTTAACTTGAGATACACGTTAATGGTCTAATAATTACATATTTTTTACATTAATTGATAAAAAAATGCAAAAATTCATATTAATTTCACCACTAATACTATATAGATAATTTTAATTGAATATTTGATTAAATAAATGTTAATTTTTATTTTTTAATATCAATTAATATCAATAAATCTAATAATTAAATGCTTAACTTGTGCTTTTAAAAAGCACGGTTTAGGAAAGCTCATTATTTTGAACT